CATTTTGGTCAAACCCTTATGAGAATAGGAGAAGGAGTCAAAGGGTACAAGAGATTTTAGTCCTCAAACTTATTGTATTCAAACATATTATAATTCCAAAAAACAGTAGACAAGCCATTTAATGCTTGAAAGCAATCGTTGTGGGTTCTTAGCCCATTTTTGCCCAAATTTCAGCAAGTCTTTCTACACTCTTCGAAACACTCTTCATGCATTTCTAGAACTTGTAATCAATCAAATTTAATGTATTCTAACCTATTCTAATCCCAAACAACATTAAAAAGTCCATTTAGTGGTGCAACGCAATGTTTTCGAGTTCTTAGCCCATTTGGGACCAAATTTCAACATGTCTTTCTCCAAACTTCTAAACACTCTTCATGATGCTCTAGCAGTTGTAATCAATCAAACTTATTGTATTCTAACATATTTCAATCACAAAAAACATTATTCAAGCCATTTAATACTTGAAAGCAATGGTTGTGGGTTCTTAGCTCATTTCAGCCCAAATTTCAGCATGTCTTTCTACACTCTTCTAAACACTCTTCATGCATCTCTAAAACTTGTAATAAATCAAATTTAATGTATTCTAACCTATTCTAACCTTAAACAACATTAAAAAGGCCATTTAGTGGTGCAACGCAATGTTTTCGAGTTCTTAGCCCATTTGGGACCAAATTTCAACAAGTCTTTCTCCAAACTTCTAAACACTCTTCATGATGCTCTAGCATTTGTAATCAATCAAACTTATTGTATTCTAACATATTATAATTCCAAAAACAGTAGACAAGCCATTTAATGCTTGAAAGCAATCGTTGTGGGTTCTTAGCCCATTTTTGCCCAAATTTCAGCAAGTCTTTCTACACTCTTCGAAACACTCTTCATGCATTTCTAGAACTTGTAATCAATCAAATTTAATGTATTCTAACCTATTCTAATCCCAAACAACATTAAAAAGTCCATTTAGTGGTGCAACGCAATGTTTTCGAGTTCTTAGCCCATTTGGGACCAAATTTCAACAAGTCTTTTCTCCAAAACTTCTAAA